GTGTGTGTGTGTGTGTGTGTGTGTGTGTGTGTGTGTATGTGTGCGTGTTTTCCTTTCTGTGCTTGGCTTATTTCAAAATTCATGTTCAACTCTTACTCATCCATCAATGATCCGCTCATGTTAACTCCTCTGTGAACTGTCATAGATTATACCTGGCTACTTCCAGGGCCCATTTAATTTTTAGCCTATTCCCACAATTATCACCACACTTCTCTTTGGCATAAAGCAGTTCCAAACTACAGGCAGAAAAAGCCATTTTAAAACAGTGACTTTGATTTTTTGTGTGTGTCCCTCCTTTTCTCTTCATTGCCTCATCTAACCAGAAATGCCAAGTTAGAATGAAAAGATAGGATCAAAAAGGAAGTGAGATAATGATTTAATCAATGGAAAGAAAGGGCTGAGTTTTGTAATTAAAGTTGGTGACAAATAAGTATAAATTGGATCAGTTTATGAATTATATATTTACCTGATAAAATAAAACTAGGTACATACATTGCCTAAGATTCCAGAGCTATAATAGCATACATAGATAATTAGATTCCCTTCTGTGACCATAATCCTCATCCTCTAATCGGTAGCATTTAATACTTTATTTTAATGTTTATCATGAATTACTCACTGGATATGCAACACAAAACATTTTATTTAGTCTTCAAAATAGCTCTTTTATGTAGATACTATTATTATTTCCATTTCCAGATAATTACATCTGTCAGATATTAGGTGTGTAAAGGGGAAGATACTGAGAAGCCCATGATGTCATTCATTGGTTCTTCTTATCTCCATAATACAACCTGACCAATTAGGCAAATCTCAATCACGGTAAGGCAGAGACATATTTCCAACTTGTTTCTGTGAGTCACAATGAACCTTGTCATTTGAGAGATCTATGTTACCTCATTGTCCAGTTTCCCCATCAGTGGAGTTCGCTCAGGGATGAGGCTGTTCATCAATTAACACATAAGACACAGCTCACACAAAAGGAATCAGAATCTCTTCCAATGAGACACAGGCATTGTTGAATTTTTAAGTGCCCTGATAATTTTTTTTTTAAACGGGCAGTCGGGGTTACTGGAGATTAAACTCAGGAGCACTCAACACTGAACCACATCCCCAGCACTATTTTGTATTTTATTTAGAGACAGGATCTCACTGAGTTGCTTAGTGTCTCACCATTGCTGAGGATGGCTTTGAACTCACCATCTTCCTGCCTCAGCCTCCTGAGCCACTGGAATTACAGGCGTGCTAGGTGTCCTGATAATTCTAATGTGGAAAATGCTAATCAAAGTGTGAGTGCTATTAGGTCAGTGGTGGCGACTTGTGCTATTAGGTCGTTGGTGGCAACTTGGTGGCGACTTGGTGGTGACTTAGTGGCAACTTAGAACAAAGCAGCCCACCTGTCAATCAGCCAAATCTCCTGACTAATGCCTGTCAATCAACAGGACCCCCCTGGCCAATCCTGGAGTTCAGCCAACTCTCCTGACCAACTCCAAGGGGTCAAGAGACCCTAGGAACACCTTTTCCTGTCCCAAGCCCTTCCCTTACTGCTGTAAGCCTGGTAAAAGTCCAGTCCTCGAGCTTCCACGTGGTTTCTCCTCAGACCCTTCCCCTGTCCCCTCTGTGGGTCTGATGAGTTCCACCCGGGAGTGATGTCTCAATAAAGCCTGTTCAGCGGCCCTTTTAAATATGCCTCCTTTGGCCACTGCCTGCCGCGCCTGATCTGACAAGTGCCATCTAACCACAACTTAATAAAATTGAGAAGTTCCTCCAGATATTCTTGTACCCAACAGACAAGATTTACCTAACCCTCTCAACAAAACTCAGACTTACTTATAGACTGAAGAAAGTTGACATCTTTAAATAACTTTTTTGGCTCTTTTTTTTCTGGTCAGAATTAAAAATCTTAAAGAATATATAGAAAAGTCTAAAAGTATAGTATGTTTTTCTATTATAGTCCAATAGCTATCTTTAATATTGTATGTAGTGTATTTTGAGGAGGGAAAATATATTTATTACTTATTTTTTAAAAATATTGTCTTTATTTTATTTATTTATTTTTATGTGGTGCTGAGGACTGAACCCAGGGCCTCACCCATGCTAGGCGAAAGCTCTACCACTGAGCCACAACCCCAGCCCACTTATTTATAATTTAATAAACTATTATCAAATGGCTATAATATGCCAACCAATGTTGTTGAACCTATGCATATAAACTTGTTCCATTCCTTTAAAATCACCTACTTTCAGAATGTATAAAAGAGGAAGACTGTGGTACAATTTATTTCACAAATGAATGATACATATTGGCAGAAATTATGGCAGTGCAACAGAAACACATAGGCAGCACATAAGTATAGTTGCTTAAAATAAAATACCCATTTACTGATTTTTCATATAGAAGAGTTTGGCAGTAGTTGCCAGAAACAGCCATGTAACTTGTGGAACATAGCTCACCCCAGGAAGTTGCTCCGAAAATCATTCCATGAGAGTCTTTTTGAGCTCCTCATTCCTGCTCTGGGACTTTATCTAAGTAGAATAAAGAGTCTCTTGTTCTTCAGTTTCTCTTTCTTGTGATTCAGCTGTACCGTCCTAAATATTAGAAGGTTTTTCTTTATTGAGGAGTTGTATTCCACCATTTATTTTCTCTTCAGAGGCATATTTTGGAGTTGTTTTTATTTTCAGGGTATTCTGAATAATATTAATGAACATCTTTATGCACGTTTTTATTGACAGTTTTTCCTTTTTCTTGAAATTTCTGCTCCCTGTATAAGTGAAGATAGTGTGAGACTCCCGGTCAAAGAATGTTCTTACAGAAGGTTCAATCAGAAGCACATGAGATGACACTTAGGAGAGATTGCTTAGTTTTTGTTTTACAGATATTGGTATTTTGGAAGATGCATAAGCTGAAGGGACGAGAAACCCAGGGAGGGTTGTTGGCACAGGACGAGTTGTCTCTTCCCTTAATGGGATGAGTAAGACAAAAGGTTGGCATGGCTCTCTGGTGACAGCAAATCTGGGCACTTGCCAGGATTCACTTCTTCAAATTAAAACAGAGGAGGAGAGCTCTCTCCACACTGTGAGTATTAAAGTGCTGTGGCATCTTGCAGTTGTAGTGTTAAAAAATATCTAATTGGAAAAGCAGAAAAAAAAAGATAAAATAAATTCCAGTATCTAAACTTCTTGATCACACCTGTTATGTTAGTTGACAGTCATGATCTTTATGTAATTGCACTGCCATACTGAATTTGTCATTTGTCGGTGATAGGCAAAAAGCTTGATCATATAAGTTTTCCTCTCTTCCTGTTGCTTCCTCCTTTAAAGTTTCTAAACTGGAGGTGATGGATTGCTAGAATATGGCTTTCATTCCATTTCTTGTAAGGCTATGAATTTAGTTAAGAAAATGCAAGGAGTACTGTTTTCAGGACTATGTGAATTGTATTCATGGCTACAATCACAGTGGACTCAAATGGCATTGACTCTTGGCTCTTCGCATAAGCAATGTTTACCAGCAAAGCTCATATCATCTAAAACACTTTTCAAAGAATAGAACCAAAGTCTAGGGAATTCACATATCCTTACTGGAATTTTGTAGGATGCACACTCTGAAATTTTTATTTATTGAAATATAGCAACTCTACTCCTGGCTTCATAAAGCCTTAGTCCAGGGGGCATCAAAGATGATTCAAAAATCAGACACAGCCTATGTCATTTAGTTTTGGCTCAATATGGGTTTGATTTTAATTTTAATTATGTGCCAATATTAAAACAGTAGGGCATTATTAAATTGCAAGGTTGATTTGTGCTTCTACAAGGAAAAATAAATTGAAAATCTAATAATATACATGAGCCACTCTTCAGTGTTTGCTACATTATCAGTATTCAAAAAGATTATACATTTTACTCACTAATTTTATATTTCCTCTTTCAGGACTCATAATCTTTTTGTTATATTTTAGAATTACCACTTTTCATTAGCATATGATACTAGGAGACTAAGTAGCTTCCTGGTTCTCACGGATATGGTTAGTAACAGGATACTTGGAATGTTTACTCCATTGTCATTCAAACTGATCCAGCACATTATCTGAGTTTGGTGTATCATCTCATGGACTGTGCTCTGTCAGGAGTTTACCAGATGATTCCATTTGGAATGATCTTAATGGATCTTAATGTTATTGAGTAGAGCTCAAGATTATAAATTAGCATTTGGCTGTTTCCTGGTTTCCTGGCTTTGAAAGAACAGTATGCTGTTCAGAGCGTTAATTTTCTAAATGTAAAGGGGAACTGAATCCTCATAAAACTTTGTTTGTTTGTTTGTTTTGAGGACTCAGTAAGCTAAAGCATGTGAAATCACTCTTTCAGTGCTCAGTGATATATATATATATACACACATACATACATATAGAGAGCAGCAAAGGAAAGAAAAAACATCCTCCTAGTATCTAAGCACTGGATGCCACTGTGATCATCCTAAGGTTATTATCGTCTTTATTCATAACAGTATAAAATGGATTTGCTCAAGGCTGTAACAGCTGACTCACTGGTACTTCATCATTACTCCAGATTTTTTCAAATAGTACACATTTCCACTGTTTGCCCAGACCACTGAAGCAGCATCTCCATATTTGAGGCAAGAAATGTCTGTTTCTTCACAAAATTAGATCTCATGTGATCTAAGTGTGTGTGAAGAAGAACCAAATTACTTATCATCATTTGTAATTATTTGTATTAGTCTCAGGTAACTACACTTTTCTCCATTAGTGAGATGTTTGAGCAAAGGGATGCATTTTTTAACAGTATATTATGACCTATAGCTTTGCATAGGGCCAGAACATGGTAAACGTTAAATACATATTTGCCAAATAATAAATAAAAGAGGTTGTTAATGTATTTCATGCCCTATTCAAATCTAGATTTCATACAAGGGAACAAATGCCATTAATCCATCTGTATATAGAATTAACCATGTGTCCAACATTATTTTCATATACTCCAGTACAGTCTCAAGTTACTTTCTCATATCATATCTCATTATATGCCCAAGAAATATTTTTTAAGAGTCCCTTCAGTAAAAAAGTATTAGAAAGTTAATTCCAGGACAAACTTTGTAATAGAATGTTAAATATTAATTTTCTAACACTATTGCTAAAAAATGACTTTTAGATAAAATTTAAAGTTTAGATGAGTTTTCAAAGAATGTTTAAAAATATTGAAAATGAGCCAATAATTTATTTGCTCTGTTTCTACGTGAGTACAGAGAAAATCTTTGGGGTTTTAAAATAACTATTTATTGGACAGTAATGAATTTACACATATGATAGCAGGAATAACTGAAGACACCTAGCAAGCACACAATGGAAGTATTAAGGTCCTGAGGACAAGCTGGGTCAATATTGTGTGTGTGTGTGTGTGTGTATGTGTGTGTGTGTGTGTGTGTGTGAGAGAGAGAGAGAGAGAGAGAGAGAGAGAGAGAGAAAGAGAGAGAGATTCCTTGGTGTGACTTGTCATTTACAGAACCCTGCCATTACTGTCAGCTGTCTATACAAGGAGCACCCAAACAAGAAGAAATTCCTCTTTTTTAAGAGAAAGAAGAAAATTGCAATGATAAATACCTCTTCCTGTATTAGAAAAGGTTGAACACGGTACCTATTTTATGCTTGGCTCCGGAAGTTTCTCTAAACTTTAAAGTCCTTGAACAGAGAGTTCTGCACTCAGGAACTCTGCTTTCTCCTGTGCCCTGCAAAGTGGCCTTGACAGTTTCTTCCCCAGTGAAAATTAAAGCCTTTGAACAAAGACTCCATTGTATCTGCACTAAAATTACAAGCTTTCTGTTCAGATCAACCCTTAGAACTGTGGCCTTTTCATTTATTTGATAGCTGTCCAAGGGGCCAGTGCTGCTCACCAGGGAACTCACTGCAGCTATGCTAGCACATTCTGAATCTTGACCATGGGGTAAGAGGACCCTGTTTCCTGACTTCTGCTTCCTGCATCTGGCACAGCTGGCTTCCCCATCCATGTGCCCTTGGGCAGGTAACACACTCAGAGAGCTGCCAACCTTTGTCTGTCATAGTAACAACTAAACACTATATTGTATATAAAGCACATAGCACTTACTTCATAGGGAGACTTCTGATGCTAGTGACTGTATTAGTCAGCTTTTTCATCACTGTGACCAAAAGACCTGACAAGAACAATTTTAGAGGAGGAAAATTTATCTGAGGTTCACAGTTTCAGAGGTCTCAGTCCATAGATGATTGACTCCATCTGAGCCTAAGGTGAGACAGACCATCACACAGAAGAAAACAGCTCAGGATGTGGCAATCAGGAAACAGAGAGAGCTCTACTCACCAAGAACAAAATATATACCCCCAAGGCACACATACCCCCAGTGACCCACTTTCTCTAGCCACACTCTACCTATCTCCAGTTACCACCCAGTTAATCCATTTAAGTGGATTAATGCACTGATTAGGGTTAGGCTCTTATAACCCAATCATTTCACCTCTAAGTTTTTCACATTGTCTCACACCTGAGTTTTTTGGAGAACTTCATACCTAAACCATAACAGTTGCTATAATTAATGCAACTTTTTTTGTAGTACAAGTTTCAGGGTTATTAGGACATAATGGAGTGGTAAAAGCACATCCATTAAGATGATAATCAGAGAGACAAAAACCAACCTCATGACAGGTGGGTAGACACGATGAATAGAATTGTTTGCAGCAATTCTCAGGTGGCAACCTGGAAAAATGTTACTCTTTAGTTTTTTAAAGTTAAATAACACATCGAAGAGTAAATCAACAAATTCTTAAAGCACACCTATACAATTCATTGACTGGAGACACATGTTGACTGTTTTTGTTAACTTTCAGTGTTGATACACTGGAACATCACCCAAGGTCAGGTAAGGGATCATTGTCAACACCATGATGAAGATGAAGAACCCCATGCAAGTGGAGTCCCTATGGAGAGATTCTGAGGCCTCCCCCAGGTGACTCAGCAGGAAAGGTAAAGAGGGCTCCTGTTTTTTGAAAGAAAAAAAAGAAAAGGAAGAAGCTAGTGAAGAAAGGGTAGATTGAGAAGCTGAAGTTGTGTGTGTCTTACTGTGTGCCAGGTGTTGTCCTAGTCTTCATCCCAACCTTAAAGTACATACTACTATTCCAATGAACAACAGGTAAAGATCTCATGTTTACAAGGAATCCAGGATCTGGATTTTATTAGCCTCTTTATTAATAGAAGCTTCATACCAAAACACATGAGATGTCATATGAAAGAGTTGATGGATGGCAGAACTAGAATATAGTCCTTATTTTTATTCTAAATGCACAAGTATCCCAGTGTCATCTCGTGGACACCATCCCTAGGAAAATTATAGAGATGTTTTACTTTGGACTGGGCAAAGGAGGAAGAGAAGGCATGGGGGTAGGAAAGATGGGGGAATAAGAAGGACATCAGTACCCTCAGTACATATATGATTGCACAAACGGTGAGAATCTACATCGTGTACAACCAGAGAAATGAAAAGTTGTGCTCCATTTGTGTACAATGGATCAAAATGTATTCTGCTGTCATGTGTACCTAGTTAGAAAAAAAATTTTTAATGTTAAAAAAATTATATAGATATTTTCCCTTAGAATTTGCTGCATATGACAGAAGAACTAGTACAAAGGGGGAAAGGCCAATCAATGAGAGAAATAATTCAGAATAGCAAGAGCTACTTTTTTCATTTATCACACAAAGGTAACTTGTGCAGTATACTGCTAAATTCAAATGCTTCACAAGCACACATTAATAAAAGCAGGGGCACTTGGTCACAGAGCCACATCCCTATCCCTATTCTGTATTTTATTTAGAGACAGAATCTCACTGAGTTGCTTAGCACCTCGCTTTTGCTGAAGCTGGCTTTGAACTTGAGACCCTCCTGCTTCAGCCTCCTAAACCACTAGGATTACAGATGTGCCTGGCCAACTGCCTTCCTTTAATTATTGTGGATTCACTCTAGAAGGTTTTGCTGTGCCAAATACTCTCGTATGTGAAAACAGACGTGGAAGGTGTTTTCTGTGGTGCCCCATGAAGATGTTTTCTGTGGTGCCCCATGAAAGGAAAGCAAGGAACTGGGAGAAGAGCGAGCGAGAAATGAAAGACGGAGACCATGTATTCTGCTGTCATGTGTAACTAGTCAGAAAAAAAAATTTTAAATGTTAAAAGAGACACACACACGAAAGTTTATTTGTCAGAGCTGACAAATAAAGGCCATCTCTCCATAGATGGGGAGAGGCAACACAGGCTTGAGGTTCGAGACTTTTATGGGGGAAGCTCAAGGATTAGAGCAGCCAGGTGGGTCCTAATGTGGGCGGTTAAGGATGGGGTTGGTATGAGGGAGTGGGGAGCCTTTCTCAGAAAGACTTTTGGGTGGGAAAGCGAAATTTTTTTTGTAAGATGTCAGCTGTCACTTAAGATAGCCATCCAGATGCTAACCAAGGACCTTACACTCTGCATACCAGAGACCAGCCTCACTCTCCTCCCAGGTACTCCTCTCTGATGGTCTATCAATTGCCAGTGTTGGATGGATGACCTTTATCACAGACCATCTTCAAATTAAAGACACGTTAAAAAAAAAAACAGTTTGAGATGGGATTCTGAGAAATAGATAATTCCAAAATTCAAAGATATCCATTAGAAATTATGAATTGGGACACTCCAAGCCACCTCTCGGCTTTAAAAGTTCATTTTGAATTCTAAAAGCAGAAAACCAAGAAAAGAGTCTCTCTCTCTCTCTCTCTCTCTCTCTCTCTCTCTCTCTCTCTCTCTGTGTGTGTGTGTGGGGGGGGCAAGTGATGACAGATTCTTTTTCACTCTGAGTATTTTTACTTTTTTGGCACATGTAATAATGTCAGATACATACGACAGAAATCACTATACATTGAAGGAGATCACATTATTTTAGACTGTAGATATACACTCACCTCAGACACTGTAATTAAAATGCATTTCCTTATAGTGCGTGTTATTTTATTGGCTTGAGCCATGGCACGAGAAACAGACTTCCTATATAATAGCCCCTCTCCATTGGTGGGCTCTACTTTAAAAAAATTGAGCTACCGCATCCATCCCACTGGGCTGTTTCATTCCGTCCAACTTGCAGGTCTAGCCCATGAGCTCTGCTAGTTGCAACTTCTTTCCTGAACTGTTTTCTTTTTCACTGCTCAATGCTATCTTGGATTGCTTATCACTTGCCCTGAAGAAGAGATTCTGATGGAAGCCAGAGTGAGGACAACACCGCACATCCGGCCTCTGTTGGAATTGGGCGTACTGAGACCCTGCCAGTCGTCCCGGAACACTCCTTTGCTGCCAGCCTGCAAGCCCAGTCAGATGACTATTGGCCAGTACAAGACCTGAGGGAAACAAACAAGAGGGAGATGGACATCCACCCAACTGCCCCCAACCCATACACCCTCCTGAGTGCACTTCCACCAGACCGGCAGTGGTATACGGTCCTGGACTTGAAGAATGCTTTCTTCAGCCTGCCCTTGGCACCCAAAAATCCAAAAATTGTTTGCTTTTGAGTGGACAGTTAACCTGGACCAGACTCCCCCAAGGATTCAAGAACTCTCCAATGATCTTCGACGAGGTGCTGCATGAGGACTTGGGTGAGTTCAGAACACCCTGACTTAACCCTTTTATGGAATGTTGATGACTTGCTGATTGCCACCAAGACTATAGAGGAATGCATGCAGGGGACTAAGGCCTTACTCAGAGCCCTGGGAGACGTGGGCTATCGTGTTTCCGCTAAAACGGCCCAAATCTGTAAGCCAGAGGTAACTTACCTGGGCTACTTGCTAAAGGACGGACAATGGTAGCTCACACAAGCTAGAAAAGAGACTGTGCTAATTCCCTGGCCCCAGACCCCGTGTTAGGTGAGAGAATTTCTGGGGTGGAAAGGTTTCTGTAGATTGTGGGTCCCTAGCTTTGCTGAGCTTGCCAAGCCCCTCTAGGAAGCCACTAGGGAAGGGCTACAGCTTCATTAGACTGAGAAAATGGATCAGTCTTTTAACCTAATTAAGACTGCTTCACTGTCAGCCCCTGCCCTTGGACTCCCTGATGTCACTAAGCCCTTTCACCTGTACATTGACGAGTGCAAGGGAGTCGCCAAGGGAGTCCTTACCAGTATGTGGGCCCATGGAAGAGGCCAGTGTCATACCTGTCAAAGAGGCGAGATCTTGTGGCGGCTGGATGGCCACCTTGCCTGAGGATGATTGCAGCCACCGCCCTGATGGTGAAAGAAGCAGATAAGCTGACCGACGGACAAGAACTGTACATCACCACACCACACGCAGTTGAAGCAGTGCTGAAGCAAACACCAGATGGCTAAGCAACGCCAGACTTACACCAGGGTTTGCTACTTAACCCTCTCAGAATCAACTTCCAGACACCCTCAGCACTGAACCCCTCGACTCTGCTACGGGACCCAGACTTGGAGGCACCTCTGTATGATTGCACAGGAATTTTGGCTCAGGCTCAGGGCATTGGAGAGGACCTTAAGGATCAGCCTTTACCCGAGGCTGACCTCTGTGGTTCACAGATGGAAGCAGCTTCCTCCAAGATGGTCAAGGTATGTGGGTGCGGTGGTAGTGACTGAGACTGAGGTGATGTGGGCTGAGCCTCTACCAGCTGGGACTTCCGCCCAGAGAGCCGAATAAATGGCACTGACCCAAGCATTAATGCTGTGTATAGACAAGAAACTGACAGTGTATACTGACAGCCGCTATGCCTTTGCCACCG